GATCATATTTATCAATGTCCAAATATCAGTCCCTATGAGGCAATGTGGCTCTTTTTCCTTGAATGTGGGAGTGGTTGTGATAGTTCAGGGCAGACCTCTCTAGCACCCTGCATTTCACGGCGCAACACAAGGTGAGGCAGGGTTTGTGCCTATGTCCTATTAAACCATAATGAATCTATATCATATTGCATCTACTCTTCGTGCCCCTCCACCGCCCGCATGTGCACTGCACCCGGCAGAGATCTGTGACAGCAGCTGCAACTCATTGTACAGATCCAGTGGGACATGCACCTCCACAGCCACTTCTCCAGGGGGAGTTTGTTTTATTTCCCTGCACTGATGGCCGATCTCCAATTTCTCTCTGTTTCTTCCTTCATCTTTTCCCCTCTGAAGAAGGCCAGGAGCTCTGCAATAACCCCACGCTGATGGGGTGAGCAGGGACTGTGTCTGTGTGTGACTCTTGCTCCAGTCTCAAGCAGAGGAACAGAGCCTTGGTCGCAGACGGGGGCTCTTCTGGCTCCATTATACACATCTGGGGAGCTCCTGTGATCAGAGCTATGAGCTTGTCTCTTTTCTCCTGTCTCCATCCACCATGATCTCAGCATTCTCCCATCTCTGGTAAACAGGATGTCACTTTAGCCTCCCCATCACTAGCATGACCCTCTCCCTCTTTCCACCAGCCACCTATTCTACACCTCCCCCCCTCCAGTGGCGGATTTGCCACTGGGCCAACGGGGCCTGTGCCAAGGGGCCCTGGCCAATTGGGGGGCCCATGAAAAATGGGTGCCTCCATGCCCCGACTCTCTCTGCCTGCCTGGCGCTCCTGCAGGCGAGTGGGGTCAGGGCTCAGGGGCTTGCAGGGCTTGCCCCACTCCACCCGCCTGGCACTCTAGCCAGGGAATGGGATTGGGGTGTAAGGGCTTGCCCCACTCTCTGGCTGGAGTGCCAGGTGGGTGGTGCGTGGCTAGCCTACATGCCCTTTCCCTAGCAGAAGCGCAAGGGGGTGAGAGAACTGCAGGCACAAGAGGTGGGGAGGGGTCCCCATTTGCTCTGGCCCAGGGCCCCACAAAACCCTAATCCACCCCTGCTCCCCCCACACTTATAGCTTCTCCCACCATGAACCCCCTTCCCTTGTGTTAACCCCTCACTCCCTGCCTCATGCTAATGTACTTGTAGCGCCCCTCTCCACCTGGTTACCTCCTTTAATGCCAATCCGCTTACAGGTTTTGATGGACAGGTCTGGGTTCTTTTGGATCCCGCCACCCACTCAGCAGGGTGTATCTTCTTTCTTTTTTTTTCTATGAAATTATTTGGTGGTGCCTCCACCCCCCTCGCTACTCTCTACAAGAAGGAATAACGTAGCTTCCCCTTTTGCTTGTAACCCTTCTGCCTATCTGAGTTGGCAGCAACAAGGGCCGGGTTCAGTATCTAGGGGTTCCGTTTCAATAACACAATGCAAAACCGACTCGAGCCCCCACCCAGTGACCTGGGACAATTACATACCACCCCCCGGGCGCCTCTAAGAAGCAATACTTCCCCTCTCGCAAGCACGGAGTCTGAGTGTAGCAAAATCTTTTTAATAAAGGAGGGAAACAATGCGGCATTATGTTGGGGAAACACCACAAACAGGATTCATAACAAACCATGAGCAAAATACCCACCCCCAAGTAAGTTTGGCAGTGTCCTTTTCCCCTCAGGGTCTTAAGTCCAGCAACCCCAAAAAAATCACCCAAAGTCCCAAAAGTCCAACACCCCAAAAGTCTCTTGAGTCCAGCAACCCAAAAATCACCCTAAAGTCCAACAACCCGAATGTCTCTGTCTCTGGTCAGTGCAGCCCCAGAGTTCAAAAGTTTATCTGCAGAGTTTTACCTCCCAACCAGGGGGGGCACCTTATGTGGTCCAAGGCCGACTGTCCCACCTCTCCATGGGATTCTGCTGCAGCCTTCACTGTGAGCCACTCCACCAATCACTCCACTCCACCAGCCATCCCGTGAGCAGCTCCACAAACTGCTCCACTCTGCCAGCCACTCCGCTCCACCAGCCATCCCGCAAGCTGCTTCAGTCATCCTGCAAACTGCTCTGCTCCGCCAGCTGCTCAGCAACATATCTTCAGGCCCCCCCACAGCACTCAGTGATGTCAGCTCTCAGCAATTTTAGTGCTTTAGTGAGTTTAGCTTGTAGTGGGGAAGCCTCAGTGCTGGTGCTCCATTGGCCCAAAGTGAATTCAGCTCAGCAGCCTGTTGCTAGACTCCTAATAGAATTAAAATCAGCTCTGATATTCTACAGTGGAGAGAGAAGACAGTGCAATTAGTGTTTCAGATCCAGCAAGGGTGGATACTATCAGGTACAACTACATATCCCTAGCCTCTCTCAATTCACTGGGTTTTGGAACCCATGTCCCTTGTCTAACGAGTGCTACTTAGTTGATGGCGAGTCCCTCTGTCATAAAACAGTTTCATTGGCCATAATTCACATAATCAGGGCAACAACACTTTATTCCTCCTGCGCCAATAACAGAGAAACTGGGGATCCTACAGCAGCCAAAGTGACCACTTTGGGCTGCTGTGGGCTCATGCTAGGCGAGGTGGGTGTGCCTATGCAAACAAGATCAGCCCCTGAAGTTCTTTTCCACAACTTGCTACAATTCACCACCAGATGTCAGGGTAGAGCTCATCCTGACTCTGCTTACATGTGCATCTGACTCCGAACCACACAGGTTCCCCATTCTCTAACATAAGCAATCTCATCTTCAATTTTTCAAACTTCCCATTCAGTGGGTTTATACTTTTGCGCTGTGACTGCTGCTGAGCAGTGAAATTCTGGGACAGTTCAATCCTGGTACCATGTGGCCTGTTCCTGTCTGAGCTGTGACATTTCAGAGCAAGCAGGGTGCAGTGGGGAGGCCCCATTGCAAAGTCTAGCACAGGGGAAGACAGGACATAGTGAGATTTAAGGTGGGAGGGGGAGGGGAGCTCTGTCAATGTTCACTGAGTTGTACCATCTGCTGGGGCTCCCAGAGACCCTTATCCCCTTCCTGGAGAGAGGTGGAGGCAAGAGGGGAAAGATTCAGAGTCACAGGCCTGGCCCAGCCAATACTTTCACCCTGTCACTGACCCATCTCTGCCAGGGGAGTGACTCTCCCCAGCACTGTGCTGAGATCTCTGATCTGATGGGTACATCCTGGAGGAAGGAGATTCCCTGAGTCACACTCCAGCTGGGGCAGATTCTGTCACTGACACCATCAAACCCTCCCCCAGGGCCGAGCTCTGCCCCTAACGCTCGGATTCTATCTCCCCCCAGTGAATGTGACTCTGGATCCTGACACGGCTCATCCCCGACTTGTCATGTCTGAGGATCGGAAAAGTGTGAGATGGGGAGACACATGGCAGGATCTGCCCGACAACCCTGAGAGATTTGACTTGGATCCCTGTGTGCTGGGCTGTGAGGGATTCACCTCGGGGAGACATTGCTGGGAGGTGGTGGTGGGGGTTGGGCGATTCTGGGCTGTGGGGGTGGCCAGAGAGTCTGTGAGGAGGAAGGGAGGGATCAGCCTCAGCCCTGATGAGGGGATCTGGGCTGTGGAGCGGTGGAGGGATCAGTTCCAGGCTCTCACCTCCCCTGAGATCCCCCTGCCCCTGAGCCAGATCCCCAGCAGGATCCGGGTTTGTCTGGACTGTGACCAGGGGCAGGTGACATTTATCGATGCTGGTGACGAGGCCCTGATCTTCACTTTCCCGCCAGGTTCTGTCCCTGGGGAGAGAATCCGACCCTGGCTCTGGGTGGGGTGGGGATCCCGGCTCAGACTGTGTCCCTGAGACTGGGGACCCTGAAATTAGCATCTCTAGCCTCACATTCCCCAGTCTCTATGACTCTGTAGGACTCCCATCTACCCAGCCTCTGGCTCCTCATCTCTATGTCCCCTGGAAGCTCCTCCCCCTCTCTGCAGCCCCAGGGATGGGAGGGGGTGGGGGGGTGAAGAACCCTGGGGCTGCAGGAGGGGCAGAGGGGCCCTGAGGGAAGATGTGGGGGCTGGGCAGAGGGCAGAACTAACAGCCGGGCTGGGGACAGGCAGATGTGGGGGTGGCAGGAACACAGAATGAATCAATCAGGGTTTGGGGGATTGGGGAGAAGCTGGAATCTCTGCAGCAGCAGGGAGCGTTTTATACAGATCGGTGGGATTAGATCTCATTGGGGCTCCCAGCCAGAGCTCCTGCCACAGGGGCCCAATCACCTTCCTCTGTAACTACGGGAGAGCCGGTAACACTGTAATTGTCACACACATGCGGGATGGGTAGGGAGAGTTCAAAAATCAGAAGATAAAGCAGGATACCTTATATATTGTTTTGAGACCTCATGTTTTGGGGGTCAAGTTCATGATTTTTGGTTCTGACTCATGATTTCTAAGTTCGAGTCATGGGTTGGGTGGGGTGTGGGGGGGCAGGCTGGGTTGAACCAGAAGGAACAGAGAAAAAACAAGGAAAAAATAAAGTAAAAGAAAACAAACAGAGTCCTGGAGAAAGGGTGAAAATTAAATATAAACACAATGAAAGGTAAACACTCTGAAGAGGGGAAAGAGCCAGAGGCAGTGAGAGGGGAAGGGATAAACTTCGGGGAAAGAATGGAGAACATGAGGGGAATGATCTGTGACAGGGATCAGAGGAGAGTGGAAGACACAGAGAAATAAACAGGGATGGGAAATGAGTGCTAGAAAAATGGTGAGTACAAATGACCAGTGTGACAGAGAAGGGAAAAAAAAAGGGACAGAGAATTATAAAACGTCACTGAAGGTGCGACTGTCACTCATTAATTTCATATGTTACTTCCTTGACTTTGTTGCCATTTTAGTTTCATTAAAAATAACTGTTCCCGAAACCTGTGGGTCTGTTTTCCATTGTTGGGGTATTAAAGCTGCTTCTCAGCTCCTTTGCACTCTGACCGGTCTTTACAGTAAATAAAGCATGATTTGTTCCTTTTGAATTTTCCAGCTGCAGTTGTTAGGGGCGGAGTCATAGGATTTGCTTCCCTACTTGGTTGTGTCCCCACAGCACCAACAGGGAATACACCGGCATGTCCCTCTGATGAGAGCTGGGGTTTTACTGTGACATGTTGCTATCCAGCCTGTGCTCTGTCCCTTGTGCTTTCTATAGCCATGTCAATCAGAAAATTCCTCAGCTGGGCTCTGTGGAGAGGGGGCTGAACACACGGTGCTGACTCTCTTCTTTGTTTCCAGAGGTAGGGCCGTCCTTACCCATACGCAAAGTACACAGCTGCGTAGGGCACCAGGAAATTTGGGGCACCAAATTTCCTGGTGCCCTGCACAGCTGCGTGCTGCCCCTGCCCCACCTCTTCCCCATGGCCCCCGCTCCTGCTCCACCTCAGCCCCGCCCCCACTCCCCTGAGGACTGCAGGAGGGCCGGGCCTACACTCACCAGCAGCAGGAAGTGCAGCGACCTGGCCCCAGCCACGCCACTGGTAAGTGGTTCCTCCCTACCCCCCAAAGCAGCCCCACCCTTCCCCTGTGGAGGCCTGGGGCCCCACACACACCCCCTGCAGGGGGGCTGCATAGGGCCTCAGAATAGCTAGGGACAGCCCTGTCCAGAGGTGTTGAATTTATTCAGAGGTGGCTAAAGAGATATGAACTACGCTGTTCACATTTCTTCTGCCCGTCAGCAATTGCTGTGGTGTCCACGGGGGGTTTCATGGGAAGGGACCTGCTCCGAGAGACGGTCTCTGCGGGTTTGTCTACACTAGGGTGCAGGTTTCTCTCTCTCATTGTACAATCTGTGTGTAGACAAGGCAAGTGGTGGTTTCACCTCAGTGTAACTGGTCAAGAAGAATTCTGTGGGTTGGAGGCTGTTTGGGAGGGTTAACGATCACCTTGAGTAACTACACTGAGGTGAAAGCATCACTTTCCTCATCTCCACTGGGACTGTATAATGAGATCACTGCCTTGTGTTTGCTATTGCATTGAAGAAAAAAAAACCACCCCTTCAACTGGGGTGGCCATGAGCTAAAAGATGGGATCTAAAGGGAGAAAAAGAAGACACCCCACCTTCGGCCAGGTCTGTGTCTTTGCTTTCTGTGAGCTTCTAATGGAAATGACTGGGGGTGGGATCCATGAAGGGACTTAGGTGTTACAATGCTGAGCATCACCCGCACCTCATTCTTAGGTGCCTAGAACATCACAAGAAGAACACTGCAATCCACACAGCCTGACTTAGGCGCCTAGTCTCCCAGCACGATGAATGGAGACAGGCAAGTGCCTTACAATGCCATCCACAAGAGCCAGCACGCTAGGTGGGGAGCCATTTAAACTACCCAATGGGAAATGCTCACAACAGGGGTGTGTCCTAAACCTTGCTCCTCTGCCAAAGAGAAGTGCCTGAGGCTGTGTCCACACAATAGCTGAAGTCGGCAGAATTCATGTTGCTCAGGAGTGTGAATAGACCAACCCCCTGACTGACATAAGTTACATGGACATAAGCGCCATTGTGCACAGCACTATGTCAGCGGGAGAGCGTCTCCCATTAACAGAGCTTCTGCTGCTCACGGAGGTGGTTTTATGTTGCCGACGGGAGAGCTCTCCGCTCCGTAATATGAAAGAGTTCATTTAGCTATGTATTTATTCCTTTTTTATTTAATGTGTCCTCTTTAATATCTGACTTTAATGATTTAATGTTAATCAGTGTTATACTCACTATGAGGAAGTTTTTTTCCCCTCCTCCTTCCTGTTATCTAGATCAAGTTACAATGAAGATGAAGATTCTCTCATTCTGCCACAGCTCCAGAGCCTGCTCCCCTCTCCCTGGTTTTATTGTTTTCTTCTTTACTTTTTATGTTCACAAGATGGAATCAGGTAGGAATTCGCACTGTGTCTACTGTTTCTTAGAGGATTTATTTAGGCCCCTGAAGTGTCTTAACAACATGCTTGACATAAAGTCAATGTAACTACTCCCAGTGTGTAAACTTAACCACACAGCAAGATCAGCATCTTCATTATTCAATTTTGGCTCTGATTGTGTTGCTGCTGCGTTATTTTATTTGCTCTTGGGAAAGTGCCCAGGTCTGTTTCTTCACACATGTATTTTTAAAAGGTTGTCAAGGATGCCCAAAGCATTGACTGGACACTTATTGAAGAGTTTAGTTAATAATAATAATAATAATTAATATGTAAATAAATTAGTGGGTTTCAGATGTAAAAAAGATAAGAGCCCACATGTGCACAAAAATAATAACAACCAGACTATTTTGATGTCATGTGAGATATATTTATGTAAAGTGTTGGGAAGTTAAATGAATGTATTATGCTCTTCCCTCATTCACCTGCACGTCTACTAATGTTATATATATGCCATCATGTGCCAGCAGTGCCCCTCTGCCATGTACATTGGCCAAACCGGACAGTCTCTACGTAAAAGAATAAATGGACACAAATCGGACATCAGGAATAGTAACATACCAAAGCCAGTAGGTGAACACTTCAACCTCCCTGGACATTCTATATCAGATTTAAAAGTAACTATTCTTGAACAAAACTATTCTTGAACTTCAGAAACAGACTTCAAAGAGAAACAGCAGAACTAAAATTCATTTGCAAATTTAACACCATTAATTTGGGCTTTCTATAGGGCCTGGGAGTGGCTGGCTCATTACAAAAGCAGCTTTGCCTCTCCTGGAATTGACACCTCCTCATCTATTATTGGGAAACCTGTTTTTGTTTGCTTGCTTGCTTTTTTTGGGTGTGTGTATGTTTGTTTTTTAATGTAACTTTATAGAATGTGGGGAAAGACTAAATTGGATACATTTCACACCAAAAGCTAACTTGAAAAATTGATAAGCTATAGAGTCATAGACTAGAGTTTAAGACCAGAAAACACCACCAGATCCTCTAGTCTGAAATAATCTTTCAGCCTTAACTATCATATTGATGATAAAGGGAAATAAAACAAGATGAGGGTAATGCATAACAAAAACTGATATTTATTTATTTTTCTTTTATGGGAAATGTGATGCAGAAATTGGTAAGTCTCATTCATCTCCCTCTGAGGAGAAAACTTTTGTGCAACTTTGGATCTTTTGTGGGGGCTTCTCTTTAATTTTTGTGTAGTTGGTTCATTTTTAATTTAACTTTTTAAAAGAAATGGGGGCAGGACTGATCCTGAGGAGTTTCAAACCAAAATGTAATCTGAAGTGTTTTACTCAACAAAAACGATTTTTCTTTTTGTGATGATCTCTCCAGACTCTCCCAGTTGAATAGAAATAATCTCTGAGCCTTTACATCAATAATTTCAATCTAAAACCAAAGACAGGGAACTTGTAAAAGAAGGAGCAAGATACACCTAAAGCCTGGCCTACATTACCAGTTTAGGTCGAATTTAGCAGCGTTAAATCAAATTAACCCTGCACCCGGCCACACAACGAAGCCATTTACTTTGACATAAAGGGCTCTTAAAATCAATTTCTGTACTCCTCCCCGACGAGGGGAGTAGTGCCAAAATCGACATTGCCGGTTCGAATTAGGGTTAGTGTGGATGCAATTCGACGGTATTGGCCTCCGGGAGCTATCCCACAGTGCACCATTGTGACCGCTCTGGACACCAGTCTGAACTCGGATGCACTGGCCAGGTAGACAGGAAAAGCCCCGCGAACTTTTGAATTTCATTTCCTGTTTGCCCAGCGTGGAGAGCACAGGTGACCATGCAGAGCTCATCAGCACAGGTAACCATGCAGTCCAAGAATCGAAAAAGAGCACCAGCATGGACCATACGGGAGGTACTGGATCTGATCTCTATATGGGGAGACGATTCCATGCTAGCAGAACTACATTCCAAAAGACGAAATGCCAAAACATTTGAAAAAATCTCCAAGGGAATGATGGAGAGAGGCCACAATAGGGACTCATATCAGTGCTGCGTGAAAGTTAAGGAGCTCAGAAAACCAAAGAAGCAAACGGAAGGTCTGGGGCAGAGCCGCAGACATGCTGC